CAGCAGGATAATTTTCTCAACTAAATATTAACTTTCAGACACATTAAGGCCTAAGATAGTCTTGCTAAATTACAAATTGAAGAGAACAGCAAAATAATCTTTTGTGATAAAAGTTTATATTGGGAAATTATTTCTCTCCCCAGAAAGAAATAATTTGAAAAGCTTTTATTTTATATTCCATTTTTTTAAAGAAAATATTATCCTATTTTAACTGTCAAAAGTGGCCTTGACTGAAGGATATTTATCGGAGACCCTAACATTAAATGATTATAAACACAGCAGCAAATTGGGGAATGTAAATCATTTAATGCTATTTACTTGTAATAATAAACATGCAGCAAAATATACCTTGATACACTTTCAAGAAAAATATTTAACATTTTGTTCTTTCAAAAAAATAAACAAATCAGACAGTCACTCTCACACCACTAGTCCACTGCAAAGCAAAGTCCTATGTTGCAGATATGGCTAAGGAGGACAAGATTTCAGCATATCATGGTGGAGTAAGCAAAGAGAAGTCAAAAGAAAGAAAAAAAATGCACAGGAAAGAAATAGCACTGAAGCAAACAAATGATTGACCACAGCTGGAGATTGGTGGCTGCTGAACAAGAGCCCAGACCTGAAAGCAGAGCAACCAGCAGTAGCAGCAGTGCAGAATGACATGATACAGTATTGCCACCTTTACATCTGCGCTGCTGACTGTAGCTCTCAGCACCTGTAATACCATTAACTCACAAACATCCCACTCTCCCTACCTTTAATATCAGCAATTCACAGACACTTACCTTCCTTCCTCCCCCTTCCCACCCCCCACCCCCCGCATCCCCCTTCTGTTCTGCAATGTGATTTGTCCTTTTCATATTTGTTCATTTTTTTAATTGTATCCTTTGGTATATATGGTTGTGACTATTTTCTTCCACTATTTGATCTGAGGAAGTGGGTCTGGCCCACGAAAGCTCATCATCTAATAAACCATCTTGTTAGTCTTTAAAGTGCTACATTGTCCTGCATTTTATTTCCCTTAATTAGCAGCCTCCATTCTCTAAGTGTCCAGTTCTAAAGGTCATTGAAAAATGACAGTGGCAATACTACAACTCTCCTAAAAAAAACCTCTGCAATACTACCCTACAACTCCCTTTTGGGTCAGGACCCCAATTTGAGAAACCATCTCCCCACTAAATCTTTAGGGTAAAAGCACACAAAAGACCGTATTTCATGATCTGAGACTTTTTTTCATGGCTGTGAATTTGGTATGGTCCTAAATATGGCCTTAAAAATATAACTTTAGTAAGGACTTATTGCATCCTCGTTAAAATGCCTGCTAGCATTGTTTACTAGGAGCTGGATATGGGAGACTTATTGCTTAAAAAGTAAATTACATGCCACTTAAAAGTGTGCATGTTAACTCTCTATATTAACATTGTTTCCACACTACTTTTTTCATATTTACTATTAGAAAATAGTACTTGCTTTTCAGCTATTTTCTTATCTATATAGGCTGTTACTAGCTATTTGATCATCACTAGAAGGTAGAAGGAATACAACAGACACTGAAGCCTCTTTTTAAGACAACTTACACATTTCATCCAGTGATCCAAAGCAACAATGTATTATCTTCAATATGTATTTCCATATAAAAACTTCAGACTCAAAGGTTCAATTAACTCCAAGAAGCACAGATAGGGAAACATTTTCTTGTGCACCACCACCTGCGCTTATTCAAACTGCCTAATAAAACAGATCACATGCTATGAAGTGTGACTCAATGAGTGTCTTGGGCTTTCAACAAACATCTATTGGAAATAACACATGAAAATGAGTGGAGGCTTTCCACATTGTTTTACATCATCAAAGGGAGTAAACCAGTGCAGCTGTCAGAATACGTGGGGAAAATCAAAAATAGCATCTTGTGATAAAAGGAGAAGATGATCTGTCTGAACTTGCTGCTTCTGAGTGACTGACAAACTGGTACTAAACAGTGGGATGTATAGAAGTCTATGGCTAAGGATGGAGCTGTATTTAAACAGATGGCTTGGGGAAAATCAGACATAGGTAACTAATAGCTTGTGCCCCCTTGTATCGGACATTCAGCGCAGGTACTCCATAAAAGAAGGCATACAGTAATCAATAAATGGTTGGGGGAAGACTTAATAGAGAGGTGCACGATATATAAGCAAGCTGGCGTGTTTAGGGATTTCTATGATTGGTACACTGAGGAAAGAACAAGCTGGTTTTCACAAAGGAAGGGGGTGAGTAGATCAAATTTTCGTACTACATAACTTCATTGAGCAATGCACTGAATAGCAGAGGCAGTTCATCAACTTTATGGATTTTGAAAAAGCCTTTGACAGCATTCATAGGGATAGTTTTTGGCATATTCTGCAAGCATATAAAATATCACAACAAGTAGTACAGTTCATTAAGAGCTTTTATAACAATTTCACATGCAGTGTGGGAAACAATGATCTACACTTCTAAGTTAAGCATGGAGTAAGGCAGGGATGCGTCATGTCTCCAATGCCTTTTAACTTAGTCATAGACTGGGTTATGCGGCATACAACAGAAGACAAGCCAAGAGGCATTAGATGGACTGTCTTCTCCATATTAGAGGATCTTGACTTTGCTGATGACCTTGTGCTGCTCTCTCATATGCATCGTCATATGCAAGAGAAGACAAATCAACTCTGCACCGTCAGTAAACAGGTCGGACTAAGAGTTAGCCAGAAGAAGACAGAAGTCATGACCATAAATATTTAGGCACCAGCACCAGCGAAGATCGATGGCCACAACCTATCTATCACAGAGTTTTACATACTTAGGCAAGGCGGAGGCGATATCCAGCGCAGACTCAGACAAGCCAGAAATGTTTTCATGAGTCTGAATTCTGCATGGAAGTCATCACAGTACATTATCCATACTAAACTGAAGTTTTATCAGAGCTGTGTTTTATTAACATTATTATATGGACCAGAATGCTGGCGGATGATAAATTGTCAACTTTTCACACCAGAAGTCTTCGGAGGATCCTCCGTATTTTCTGGCCAAGAATAATTTCAAATCAGGACCTGCTTGTGTGGTGCAAACAAAATGACATGGCCACCATCATTATGAAAAGATGCTGGAAATGGATTGGGCACATGCTCAGAAAAGATGGAAGCTCCATCACAAAGACTGCCGTGCACTGGACCCCTGAAGGGAAGCGGAAATGAGGACAACTCACGACAACATGGCGCCAGACCGTTGAAGTAGAAATGAAGAGTATGAATCACACTTGGGACACTATTGAGAGGCTGGCCAGTGAGACAGAAGTGGAGGACCTTTGTTGCTTCCCTATACATCAGTGGGCACAAAAGGCGATGATGATGATGATGGGTACACCACAGAAATACTCCCCCATCATTATAGTCCACCTTACCCCCCCTACGGGGGGGAGAGGGAAGAAGAGGGGTGATTGGCAAGGTCCCAGCAATGACGGTGTTGGAGGGATCTGGATGGAAAGTGGGGGGAAGAGTTAGTTGAAGCTCCCCAACCCCAGGAATTGGAAGATCCTGGTAACTGGCCAACTGGAGGGACCTGAGTGGAAAAGGGGGTGGGGGAGCTAGTAAAGGCATGCTCCCTCCCCCCATCAATTATGGTAGAAAACAAGGGAGAATTTAGTTCCATCTTTAATCAGATGGCTTCAAGAAAGTCAGATATAGGTAACTAAATCTTCTCCCTCACTTCACAGGCCCCTCCACCCGCAAAAACTGAGTGTTTCTGGTATCCCAAAACTTTTAAATAATACAATTTCTAATGTATTTTATTTTAAAATATTCCATTTTATAAAACGTACCTGAAGTAGCAGCAACAGGTTTCAGTGCCATTCTTCCAACAAGGCATTCCTTCAACATAGATTCATAATTAACCCAACGATGAACCTGGAAGAAAGAAAAGTGTAGTTTTCATATATTTTAGAAATATTAATGATTCTGATCATATTTCTGTGACTATAAAGGTAAGAAAAAGAAGATCAGATTTTATTTTGGTGACTCAAACTTTAAAAGATCTCCAAGTGGCTGTCTTGTTACAGACCAATTCGAGAAGCCAAATGCACAGAAAAGGGTTGGAATTACAATTCATCTACAAATTTAATTCTCACACCTATGGCCTCAATCGAAATAATGGACGGCTGGGACGTTATCAACCAAACAAACCATGAAGGTGCCAACAGCTCTTTGTCTGTGTAGATTCTTGTGTTAGTACTCTTCTTCTCTAATAGCTATCCTATGATTCTTATCGGCTTCTTTTAACCATCACATTTTAAGGTGCTTATAGATTACCAGTTTTGCCTGTTTGGTTTTCCATTTGATATTTACATACCCTCTGCTTCTTGTTTCCCGCCTCCTTCCATTTTTTTCCTTCCCTGCCTCTCTGTTCTCCCCTATTTATTTTGGGTCTGGACATCCTAAACTCAAAACTCCAGTCATCTGAAAAAGTGAGCTGTGCCCATGAAAGCTCATCATACCATCTACATGTTTTGTTAGTCTATAAAGTGCTACCAGACTATTTGTTGTTTTTTAAGTTTATCGAATACACTTGTTAGACGTTGGCATGCTATATTAATTAATACAGGTGGAAGCATTAGGGTCACTGAGATTTTAGCTCATACCTAAAGACCTGATTTTAATCAGTTTGATTTTAAATGTTCATTTTGTTTCATTGTCTTGAGTATTGGAAGACAACTGATCATCTTTCTTTCCTGGGCCCTCAAAAAATGGGAGATATTGTAATTTGTAAAGAATAATTCATGCTTCGCAAGTATTTCGATTCTGCAGTTTTTCAAGTTACTCCTGAATTTTTTTGAATAATGATTTACTATGAATGCTTATGTGTCCAGACTCCACTCGTTCAGAGTCCTCCGACCTGTGCTCGTGCCATTTGTCGCCTCTTTGTGAGTGGGGAGAAAGGGGGATGGGGCAGGCCACAGGAACCAGTGCAGAACCCACCATGAGGTGGAAGGGGGAGGAAGAGATGCCCACAAGTTCCCTTCATAATCTCCATTTATATATTCATCCTCTTCTAATTAAACCTGCCTTTCCTCGACCACCAGCATTCAAATTAAATAAATTATGGTTACTATTTTTATTGCAGATATACAGTATTTCAGCAACATTATGGATTAAATAGGCTTTGGCTGGCTAAGCTGGGAACCTAACTACCATTTATAACATTGTTTCCATGAGAAATTGCATTCCGTGTTCCAAACAACTGACTTACAAACTTTTGGAACACAACTCATTCATAAGTTGGGTACTTCCAGTATAGCTATATATTGTGGAATGTATCAAGATAAATTTTCTTTTCAGCATAAAATAACTGGATTATACGAGGGATGCTGCCACATACGCTTCACCCTGGTTAAATTTAGTCCTTCAGTAAGCAGATGTCAATTAAGTTACCTTATAATCAAGTCATATAAAGCTGAACTAGCATGTGACTGTGTGTATATTCCTTTGTGTTTAAAACCCTTTATACAAAACACTTAAACTGCAACAGCTTTTGAGAGATTAAAAATGATATGCAGCATGGAACACTGGGTCAAAGAAGTTATTTCCAAAAGCAAGTAGTTTCTACCACTCCTAATCTTATATAAACTTTGACAGACCCAAACCAACGGGCAACAGTAGTTTGACATAAGGTAAATATATTGACCACTAGGGATGTTAAATTTTGATTAACCAACTAATCGAGTAGTTGATGGAATTTTCATCCACTACTCAATTAGTCGATGGAAGGCAGAGCGGACACGCTCACTATCATGCTGCACTTCTCCCTTAGAAGTGTAAAAGAGCAGTCCACTGCTTCAGTCCCTGCTCCCGCGCCTCTCCCTTTGAAATATACAAGGCCTGCCTGTGGCTCTTGTGTATTTCAAAGAGAAAGGTGCAGCAGTAGAGACCCCTCTGCCTCCCCTGTTCCCCACGGAGACTGTGCTGAGGAGAACTGTCTTTTACTCCCCCTCTCCCCTGCTTCCTTCCTCTCTCTAATAGACTAGTCGAGTGACTACTCATTTATCCAATAAGCTTCTGCTTATCAGATAGCTGACTACTCAACTAGTCGCTTACATCCTGACTAGCCACTGGATGAAGAGTTTTCTGCAGTGCTTTTTTTGCTTAACAACTTTGAACCTGGAGTACCGTCACCTTTTTTCTTAAAAAACCCCACTGGTTTTCTGTTCTCAGAGTGACCAGGGGAGGGGCTGCTGCAGTGCCATCAGGAAGATCCTGGAGACAATTAAGAGCGTGCCAGAAACAAGAGAGAAACAGGCTAATCAGAACAGCCACAGTCCACTAAAGATCTGCTGAGGCTAGTTTAAAACCCAATGATATAGGAGTAATTGCAAATACACAAATTTCTCTTCATCATCATCATCATCAACCATGGGCTTGACGCTCATTGGTGTACGATGCCTCCCTTGCTATTTCCTTCCATCTTTCCCTGTCCAGTGAGGAGTGGCTCTTGGTGAAATTGAACTGTGTTCACTAGCAGAACACGTAAGTTCATGGACAAAAGAGCATATAAGTACTTAGCTTTCTGATAACAAACCTTCACTAAGAAAGGTCTGCCATTTTAAGCTGATATGGCAGTTGCTATTAAAAAGTAATATGAGACACAGTTTGAAGTGCCCATACATCACTAGGCAAACAATTAAAATCAAATCAGCATGGACTAATAGTCAACAATCTTGGAGCACAACACATCTTGTTGGCTAACAGCTAATACCTTGAGATAGCGAACAACTTAATAAAAAAAAACTTCACCATATGTGTAATACTGTGCATATGCTTAAACAATTTTGTGTATTGGAACCCAAATCTTGAATGTGTTTTTGTAACTGTTTCCCATCCTCCCTCCATACACTATAATTTTCAGAACACTTTTAACAAGGTATCATTCACTTCCAGTATTCTTACCTGATCAAAGAGATCTGTACCATCTGTTCCCGCTGCTTTCATTAGCTCATCCTCACCACCTGGGTGATACTCCATGTATGGAGTGACATTATACACCAGCCCTGGATCAAAAAATGGATGTATAAATTACAGCAAATAATTCTCCAATTAAAAGCGTGCTTTATAAAACTGCTTTCTCCAAATACGTTCAAGTATTTCAATGTTCTTTAGTCATGGGGAAACAGCAGCAATATTGGCTAAAAAATATTAAATATGACTGCACTATACTTTAATGCTCCAGTAAGACAAAAATAAACAAGAACGTTACAAGAAGCAGATTAGAAAAATCTATATCCCTATACGTCACACAACAGCTATTTTATTTTATTTAAAGGAGCAATAATATTAGCCTAAAAATCCAGTCCTGTTTAAGGTTAGTCAACCTTGTAAACAACCCTGGTAAAAACCCTAAGAACCCTGCTACCCCGCTGCCTTCCACGGAGACAGTGCTAGGGGGAAATGGGCTTTTAAACCGGCTCTCCCCAGGACCAGTTCCTGTTCTCCCCGGGGAGGGGAGAGTGACTAGTTGAGGGACTAGTCAACTATCTGATAAGCTTTTGCTTATCGAATAGTCGACTAGTCGCTTACATCCCTAATTAGGTCCTATCAACATTCTAGTCACTCCCTGCTAAGACACCAGAGCTGTTAAAATACAGATCCTCCCAACAAGCATTTTTTCTACTCCTTGTCCTCAAAAACTGAACCACTTTAGCCCAAGTTTAGTTCCAACATTTACACCTGAAGATTACAGCTTGAGAAAGTTTAACTGATCTGAAAATGACCCTTTAGTACAGAAGTGAATTCTTTATTCTGCTACCTCTCCATCAGAAGGGGGACAGGGTGAGGCAGGGAGGAGCCAATATGCCTTGGGAGCCAGTTTTTAAGCTGGCTCTTCATTTGTGCTGGCTCTGCAGAACTGCCTGCCCCCTCCTTTGCTGCCTTCCACAGAGGCAGCAAGGAGAAATGGCCTGGGCTCACTGCTGACAGAGGCTGCACTGTGGGATGCAAACTGCCTCCCCTCGCAGACCAACTCCTGCCTGGCACCCTGCGATGCTGCCTCTGATATAGAGGCAGCTGTACAGGGTGGCAGGAGGTTCCCCAGGAGCACACTTGCTGCAAGCCCTGCGCCCGGGGCCCATTAAATAATCGTGTAACAGCTAAGATTTAGTATTGTTACATGATTATTAAATTAAATTATATCCAATGTCCTTAGTTTTTACTACTAATTTTGGTGGCAATAGGTCAGACGTCTACATACTGTAGATGCTTCTTGCATAAAATAAAGAAAAACAGAATGCTGCCTATGCATAGTCTGATAAAGTTATAAATTCAATAAAAAAGCTTAAGACAACTGATACGTATGGATGAAAAAGGAAAATGCTGCAAATACACCTTGACATTTCCTAGTTTGTAAGATTATTCTTCTGCTGAATTTGCTAACTACACCATCTTGTGTGCAGAAGTGATTACTGCATACGAGGAGACTATTTTGTTAGTGAAAACCCAGATTATTAGGGCACCATTATTATGAGCTAAATGCTACTGCTACATGCATTATGACAACCTCCAGTTTGACTACCCTCATTCAATCTCTTATCTGTCTTCTACCAGACTCTGCAAATGCATGTCCAACTTGCATCTCAATCTATATCAGTCATAATGATAGAAATGTAGCCGTGTTAGTCTGGGGTAGTTGAAGCAAAATGCAGGACAATGTAGCACTTTAAAGACTAACAAGATGGTTTATTAGATGATGAGCTTTCGTGGGCCAGACCCACTTCCTCAGATCAAATAGTGGAAGAAAGTAGTCACAACCATATATACCAAAGGATACAATTAAAAAAAAGAACAAATATGAAAAGGACAAATCACATTGCAGAACAGAAGGAGGAGGCGGGGGGGTGGGAAGGGGGAGGAAGGAAGGTAAGTGTCTGTGAATTGATGATATTAGAGGTAGGGAGAGTGGGATGTTTGTGAGTTAATGGTATTACAGGTGATAATTGGGGAAACTGTCTTGATAATGGGTGAGAAAGTTCAAAGACTTGTTAAGTCCCTGGTGGTAAGTGTCGAATTTTAACATGAATGACAGTTCAGAGGATTCCCTTTCAAGTGCAGATGTAAAAGGTCTTTGTAGCAGAATGCAGGTGGCTAAGTCATTTAGAGAGTGTCCTTTCTGGTTAAAGTGGCAAGAAACTGTTTTCTCTTTGTGATCTTGTCTGATATCTGTTTTGTGGGCATTAATCCTTTGGCGAAGTGTCTGAGATGTTTGTCCAATGTACATAGCAGACGGACACTTTCGGCACATGATAGCGTAGATTATATTTCTGGATGCGCAGGAATATGTGTTCTTGATCTTATAACTCACTTGGTTAGGTCCAATAATGGTATCAGCAGAATGAATATGTGGACAAAGCTGGCAACGGGGTTTGTTGCAAGGGAAGGTACCAGGGTTGGTATTAGTGTGGTATGTCCTGTGGTGGTTGGTAAGAATCATCTTGAGGTTAGGTGGTTGTCTATAGGAGACTATGGGTCTGTCTCCCAGAGCCTCTTTGAGTATGGTATCCTGTTCCAATATAGGCTGTAGTTTATTGATAATGTGTTGGACAGGTTTAAGTTGGGGGTTGTAGGTGATGACAAGTGGTGTTCTATTGTTGGTTTTCTTGGGTCTGTCTTGAAGTAGATGGTTTCTAGGTATTCGTCTGGCTCTTTCAATTTGCTTTTTTGTTTCTCTGGGTGGGTAGTTGAGATTTATAAATGCTTGGTAGAGATCCTGAAGCTTCTGGTCTCTGTCAGTGGGGTTAGAGCAGATGCGGTTGTATCGAAGGGCTTGGCTATAGACGATGGATCGTGTGGTGTGTTCTGGATGGGAGCTGGATGCATGTAGGTAACTGTATGAGTCAGTGGGTTTTCTGTAGAGAGTGGTGTCTAATTTTCCATTGTTGATTTGTACGGTGGTGTCCAGGAAGTGGATCTCTCGTGTAGAATGGTCCAGGCTGAGGTTGATGGTGGGGTGTAGGTTGTTGAAATCTCTGTGGAATATCTCCAGTGTTTCTTGGCCATGTGTCCAGATCATAAAGATGTCATCGATGTACCGTAGGTAGAGGAGGGGTGAAAGGGGACGGGAGTTGAGGAAACGTTGTTCTAGGTCAGCCATAAAGATGTTAGCATACTGTGGGGCCATGCGTGTACCCATGGCTGTGCCGCTGATCTGGAGGTATAAGTTGTTCTCAAACCGGAAATAATTGTGGGTGAGAACAAAGTTACATAGGTCTGCTATCAGGTTGGCAGTAGTGTCCTCTGGGATAGTGTTTCTAATTGCTTGTAATCCGTCTTCATGTGGGATGTTGGTATATAGAGCTTCTACATCCATGGTGGCAAGGATGGTATTATTGGGGAGGTTATCGATGTTTTGTAGTTTCCTTAGGAAGTCAGTAGTGTCTCGGAGATAGCTGGGGGTATTGGTTACGAAGGGTTTGAGAAGAGTGTCTACATAGCTGGATAGACCAGTAGTGAGCGTGCCAATACCAGAGATGATGGGACGTCCGGGGTGCCCAGGTTTATGGATCTTGGGAAGTAGATAGAACAATCCTGGTCGGGGGTCAGAAGGTGATTCTGTGAGGATTTGTTCCCGAGTAGCTGTGGGGAGGCTTTTAAGGAGACAGTGTAGTTTCTTTTGGTAGTCCAAGGTGGGATCAGAGGGGAGAGGTTTGTAAAATGTGGTGTTCGAGAGTTGTCTGGTTGCCTCCTGGTTATAGTCGGCCTTATTCATAATGACCACAGCACCCCCTTTGTCAGCTGGTTTGATTACAATGTCCAGGTTGTTTTTGAGACTCTGGATGGCATGGTGTTCAGCGCGGCTAAGATTGTGTGTCGCTTGTTGTCGTTTGCGAATAATGTCAGTCTGTGCGTTGTTGCGGAAGCTGTGTATATAGAAATCCAGATTGTAATTCCGACCGTCAGGGGGAGTCCATATAGAATTATTTTTCCTTTGGTGTTGGTAGGGGGGATCTGGTAGGTCAGATTGATGTTCAGTGGTGGTTTGGAAATATTCTCGGAGACGGAGGCGGCGAAAAAAAGCCTCAAGGTCACCACAAAATTGTAGTCATGTCTGCCTTTCTTCACAATCCATCTGCTCTGACTATTCCAGTACTGTCATAACCAAGTTTCTCAACTTCCCTCCCCCACTGATACCTTGCCCTGATCCCCAACACACACTCCTTCCCCAAATCTATTTAGCATTCTTCTTCTTCAGTATCAAGTCTGTGCTTTTTCTGCCCTCTCAAAGCCCTTCACATTTTGCCATAGCCTCCATCTGTAATCATATCTTCATCCCACTCCCTCTGCTCTTTCCAGGCCTCCATTTTGGTGTCCTATCAAAATATTCTTCATTCTATTTTCTGCCATCACTTATGTTTGGTATGGTCCCTTCTTATGCACATAAGTCTAATCCAAGGCCTACAGAATGAAAGCAAAAGATTCCCATTGACTTCAATGGGCTTTGATTAGGCCCCAAATGACCAAGCATGAAAAACTCAAAATAACTGTAGGAGACATACAGTGTTAGTACAGGTTGCACCTCCCTAATCCGGGATTCTACCGGACCACGGGTGTTGCTGGATGGGGAGAGGGAAGGGCTTCTGACTCTTGGAAGGCCAAGGGCTCCCAGCTTCAGCCCTACAGCTCCATTCCCAGGTTCAGCACCAATGCTCAGGGTTTGAGTTATGGAAGATGGGATGCTGATTTCAGTCCCAGCACTCACACTTTCCTCCCACCTCGGCTAATGCCCTGAGCCTTAGTTTATCTCCCCAGCTGAAACCAGGAGCGGCAACAAAGAAGTCTGAAAAATTAAGAGAAATGCTTTATTTTTTTAAAAAAAACCTTTTGAGCATAAAGAATAGGTGGAATTGAAGGAGGCAATTATGGTTAAGGCGAATAAAGAAGCAGTGTAATCGAGTTCTGTAAAAATGAGAACTCGAAAGGATATTTTGGAGAGGCAAAGCCAGAATGTAGAGAAACGCTCAGAGTAGCTGGAAAGAAAGATTTTGCAGTTGTGCTTTGGACT